CTACTACTTCTACTTCTACTTCTACTTCTACTGCTACTGCAACTGCTGCTACTACTACTACTACTACTACTACTGCTACTGCTACTGCTACTGCTACTGCTACTGCTTCTGCTTCTGCTTCTGCTTCTGCTTCTGCTACTGCTACTGCTACTACACTCTGAAGTGCAAGGGAAACCTTCTGAGATCCGAAACAATGCACGCACCGCCCGCTGAAGCGCGTAGTTGATTCACGTGGGCGCTTGAGTCGCTTGCAGCACCGATCTCATGCGCTAGTGCTGAAGATGCCCGCGAAGACGGCAGGCCCCAGCCGTAAAGCCTAAGGGCCACCCCCGAGATGCTGGACCTGAGACCTACCAGAGCTCTTGGTTGGTGGTTCGCACTCCGATGTAGAGTTGTGCAGTTGGCAATAGCTTTGGCAGTTTCCTGTGGCTTCTTCGACCAGGAGCTTCTGCCGCCCTTGAAGATGGGGCATTGGCCTCGTTGTCTGTGAGACTGTGCCGTTATCCTTAAGCCCTTAGCCACAATGCATTTCACGTAGCCGCCATAACTGGGCCATAATTAATTCTTACCTCTCAGCAGCATCAGCATCACATGACGATGAGTATTACTGCTGGTATGTTGCTGATGTTGCTGTTCTTGTTCATGGGTTTGTCGCGGTTCCTTGGGGGTTGAAGCTCATCAGGCCTGGACTGAGGGTCATACCTTGTGACCTCCTTCCCTACAAAACAAAGATTGAACATGTGTGTCTTTTCTTGCCACATACTACACAGGGCTTGGGAACGTCTGAAGTTGCAGGCTCGCACTTGTCAATCAGACTACTGGCCGACGATCGGGAGCAGGGGCAATGCTTCCCTAAACCCTAAACCGTCGGTTAATCCTATACCCGAAACCCTATACCCTGAACCCTATACCCTAAACCCTACACCCTAAACCCTATACCCTAAAGACTTTCATTGTTTCAGGATTTCGGAGGCCAGGGTTGGGGATTCGGAAGCCAGATTAGGCATGCAGCTCTCTCCTTGAAACATCAGCCAACGAACCAAGACACCCGCCAATGCGAATGTACGTCTAGGTTTGAAGCCGTGGTTTTCGGATTGCATAGATGAATGAATGCTTGTACATCCGTACAGAAGTATATATGTATGTATGTTTGTCCGTTTGTCCGTCTGTCCGTCCGGTCGTCACTCTGGTTGTTTGTTTGTGTGTTTGTATTCTTTGTTTGTTTGTTTGTTTGTCTGCCTGTCCGTTTGTCCGTCTGTCCCTCTGTCCCTCTGTCCGTCTGTCCGTCCGTTTGTCAGTCTGTTTGTCTGTCTGTTTGTCTGTCTGTCTGTCTGTCCACACACATTGACATGAAGCCACCTGGAGCAATCTGGAAATCGAAGCCGCGTGATCTCAACCCCGAGATTCGAAAGCCCCTCAAATCCAAACGCGTGAATCTTCCAAGTAAAAGTCCACGGTTTATGGTCCGGGGGTTTAGGGATGTTTAGGGTCTAGGGTTTGCGGTGTTCTTAAGCTTAGCATTTAGGGATGTCGAGGGTAGGAATTTAGATTTAGATGCTAAGCAAAGGTACTGAGCAAAACACCTCTCGAAATCCTGAGCCTTTTGAATCTTAAGCCAACCTGACAAACTCTTGGGCCGAAGACGTCGCCAAGTGCAAGTAAGGTAGTGCACGGCACGCAGCACCCGGAACCAATAAGGACCAAAGTCGACAGAGTTCCCCATCAGTCAAACACGAGATGTCTTTCAGAGAAATATATAGTAAACCCCAACAAGTTGGAAACCGGATTAAGGACAAATAGTGCTGGGATTCCCTAAACATTACTCTTAAGGATTGAGGTTGTTGGGTTTCCAACTTTAGGGCTTCTACTGTAGCCCCACAACCCTGGAAACTGCAAGCGGGTGATCTTAGGGTGGGTACACCTGAAAGACGAATGAAGGCACATTCACAAGCACGGCCAAATGCTCGACCCCTACAATGAGCCCCAAACCCCCATATAACCCTTAAGAACTCTGAAAATCTCTCAAAATCCTAAACCCCTATTACCCCCAAATCCCCCATTGCCCCATATTGCCCTCCATAGATCCCGGACAGAAGGGCCCATAAACAAAAAGCCACCTTAAAAGGAGCCTGACGAAGCTAAGAAAGGGGCCTAAATAATTACCTATACTATTTTGGGGGCTCCTTATTATAAGTATAGTACGATGGGCCCCCTAAACCCTAAACCCTAAACCCTAAACCCAATTCTAATTATTAAGGCCCCTGCATGACCGAGGCTCGGGAGCGGTTTCGGCTCCAGAAGTGCTTCAGGTGCGAGCGCGACTTGGGCCTCGAGTTTTTTTCGGGGGTTTAGGGTTTAGGGTTTAGGCAGGGGGGGCTCGTCGGGTTTGTGTAGGGTGGTTGTAGGGTTTATGTAGAGTTGTTATTGGGGTTTGCAGGCTTTTTTCAAGGGGGGGTTCATGAGGGCTGAAGGGTCTTTACTTTATAGTTTATAGGTTGTTTAATGGGGTTTCAAAAGGTTGTTTCCGGGCTTTGTTCGGACTTTATGGCGGTGTCAGGGTTTTTGCAGGGGCGACTATACGGGGTTTAGGGGTGGGCTGCGAAGAAAGCCGGGGTGGTCGGTTGGTTGGTGCTGCCGGGGTGGTCGGTTGTTTGATCTTGTAGTTTAATTAGTGGCTTTTGGGTGTTTTTTCTTTTTCGGTGAGTGGTTTTGGGTGGTGTTGCGGGCTATTTCTTAGGTGGTTCGGGATCTCGCGCGGGTTGCAGTAGGCTCCATGCGTTTCTGGAAGAGTATTTTGAAGGCTTATGAGGGCGTGCCCGTGCCGTTGTTGGCAAGGCCTTTTGGGGGCATTTAGGTGTTGTTGTAAGCTGTGTTTGTTTCAACCCTTCTTACGGAAGGATTGACATAGTTTTGTCGGGTGAGGAGTTGTAAGATGATTTCACTTTTCTCTACTGCTGCCATGACTCATATTGCAGTGCTACTTGCAGCAGCACATGGGCCAAGGTGATGTCCGGAATCCAAACGCCAGACGAGGAGGCTTGGAAGGGTGCCTGAAGATCACCCGGAATTTTAAACCTTGTCGGTTAGCTGAAGACCGTTGTGCTATGCGAAACCCAAGCCCTTGAACTCAAGCCCCGAAAAAAAAGCTTAAACTTTAAACCTGCACATTCCAACATAAACCCTGAAACGCTAAAGACCACATACCCACACCCTGACACCCCGATCAAACGCTCAATCCTACGTCCCACGGTCTGCGTGCGGGCTTTGCAGTTTCCATTTCGAGGCTCTTAGGGTTACGTGTTTAGGCAGTGTTTAGGGTTCAGGTTGGAGTTTCTAGTAAAGTCCCTCCAAACAGACAAAAACGCACTGTCAATCGAGGGCTGAATAATCAGATGGCAGTTGCAAAAAAATGCTGTAACCAACAAGCAATGCAGGTCACAGCCGAACAACCCCCTAAACCCTAAACCCTTGACGCCCCCAAATCCTGAACCCCTCAACCCTTAACCCCTAAACCCTAACGCCTAAACCCGATATGGCCCAAACCCCTCAAAACCCTCGAGGCATTCTCTCTGGAATGAAATTGTCGAGCCCTACCATCGGATCTTTGAGGTTGAAGTTCAGGGTTTAGGGTTTAGGGCAGTAGGACTCCAAGGGATTGGTCTTTAATGTCGATCCCTGATGACAGCAAAGGAATTTCATCTAAACACCTTTTGACAGGGATGATAACAGGGATGAAACTGTCAAGGCTCTTTAAGAGAGGGGGTTTGTTGATCAGGGGTTTAAGATGAAGCTGACAGTAGAGTTCGGGCTTCGGGATTCGAAGGGTTCGTGCTGTCGGTTTAGAATGCTAAATGTCGGGCTTTGGGGAGCTTGAACATGTTGTGGCCTCATTGGACCCTTCAGCGACATAGCACAGCTGCCCTTTTGCTCCAGCCTGCTGACAAAACCTTGAAACTCAAGACCTTCGCTAGGGCCTCCCGCAATCCTAGACCCTAAACCGGTTGACGCTTTCAGGTCTCCCTGAACGAATCTGGTGGTGCCACACTGGAGCCACCACTGGAAGAGGTGGAGGTCCCTTGCAGAGTTGTCAGGGGCTTTATAGGGTTATACAAGACTTGACAGCTATTACGCTACGTAGTCTAAATAGATGAATGAATACTTAAGGAAATAAGTGTGTGTGTGTGTGTGCGCGTGTGCGCGCATCTCTCTATCTATGTATATATATACACATACATATACATATATGCATATACACACACACACACATATATATATATATGTATATCGATGTGGGTGGGATATGTCTTTTTGCGTATATGTACGTGTATATATATATATATACACATACATACACTTATTATTTTCCATGTAGTTAATATCTGTTGTATCTGTGTTTGCTATCATGGACCCTTCAGTGGCCTGTTCTTGTTCGCTGCTGCTGCTGCTGCTGCTGCTGCTGCTGCTGCTGCTGCTGCTGCTGCTGTCACTCCGTTACTCCACGTCCTCGTAGCGGTAACAGTAGCAATAGCGTGTTGGTGTCGTCGTCTTTCGCAGGTACTTGTTGCTTGTGATCATTACTGCTTCGACAATCGTGGTCTACATAACAGTGGTTCAGAGCTGTTCTGTGTGCATGATCCGCTCTGCTACGGACCAGGGCGACCAGAGTGAACAGGCGATTAAACCCGGAACCCAAATAGCTTAAACTGCACCAAGCTGCCCAGCCCTCAACCATAAGCACCCCAACCCTTAAATATGTTGAATACCTTCAACCCCTAAAGCTATGTGCTTCGTCGTACCCGCAACCTGGCCAGGCTTCTCCCCTCAACCTCTACATAAACCCTCTGTGCGGCAACCTGACGAGGTGGAAAAGCCGCCGCGACCCGTAAACATCGGCGTCAGCAGTGTAGGCCACGCCTCAGTTGCCACTGTTCTGAGGGGTTTAGGGCTAAATTCCAAACTCCAAGTGTTCAGGGGCTCGGTCGGGGAGGTGTCGATTTGGGCATATCAAGGTGGAGTTTCGATTGCAGGTGCCAAGTTGTAGTAGTTTGAGTCCTAGGTCCTAGGGTTTTGAATTATTTTTGAGGCTTACACTTTGCATGGCTCAGAGTTTGGCAAACCTCCTGCGCACACGCGATCGTGTTGTGCTCATATCATATCACCCATCACCCCGTTTGGCGTGTTCTCGTCTTACTATTGTGGCTCCTTACTGCCACTCGCGCAGGTTTACTCGAACTGTCGCTGCTATCTTTGCAGTCTCAGCATTTTAAGCCTGACCGTGATCATCCTTCTTCGCGTTCTTGCTGCTCCTGGTCTCTAACCCGGTGCTGGGGGGTCTGAATTGCAATTACAAGCAGTATGCCCTTATAGTCCATATGCAACTAGCATATGCCCCAAAACCATATGCTGCTGCTGTTCATGAAGGCCCCTGTATTACGCGGCCTGAAGTTCAGAGTAGTGTAGACCCCTGGTCAATCAGCAACCTTCCCACAGCAAGGAGTATAAGGCGAAGGATCTGGGTTTTCGGTTAAGAAAGAAAGGGCAGTGAAAGTGTTGCTCGTAATCAGGAGTGTAGATTGGCACAATTCCTCACCTGTGGGACCCTTGCGCATATACGGTTTCGGGTTTAGGGTTTAGGCCCTGCAGCCTTTAAAGCTAAAAAGCAGCAAATCCTGGGAGGTAGTTCTTCGGCCGCCACTGCGGCACAGCCGACAGCGCCACTCTCAGTGGAGGCGTCGTGTGAGCTTTACCCCTAAACACAGGCCCCAAAGAGCACAAAACCGACCCCTGCGAGGCCGAACGGGCCCCACGAGCCCCCCAGAATCTTTGACTTTACGACCCACGTCCATATACTCCCAAACTTCCTAAGCCATAGGAGCCCCAACCCATAGGCCCCCATAACCCAGTCATGGCTCACCCAAAACCCACCCCCCAAACCCCTTCACCTCAAACTTTAAAGCCCGCTAAACCCACAGCCTCTCAGGCAAGACGTAAGCAAAACCAAGAGCCTGCGGACTAGACCCCGCAACACCAACGCAAAGTCCTAAACTTAGAAACCCCTCAATCAACCCGAAACCGTAAATCGTACTAATCCTCAGTTTAAACGAAAAAAGCCCTAAAGCCTACTTTAACCGCAAATACCAGCATTTTCAGGGACGTGTATGAAGAAGTCATAATGAGGAACCCGAAAAAGGTAGGTTATTTGGGCCCAGGTAAACCCTAAACCCCAAACCTTCAAAGCCCCAAAACCCTAAACTCTAAACCGCCAAAAACCCCTGAAACCCAAAACCCGCAATCCCTCAGCCTAAAAAAAAAGCCTCCCTCCTAAACCTTAAACCCTAAACCCTAAACCCTCCTAAAGCCTAAATCCTCCCCTTTCGGCCCCAAGCTCTAAAGAGCCTTTGAGAAGGAGCCTTTGAGCTCTCAAAGTCGGGACGACGAGGAGCTGGCAGAGGCTTTGGCTGCTTTAGGGTCTTAGGGGTTTAGGGTCTTAGGGGTTTAGGGCCTTAGGGCTTTAGGGCTTTAGGGTCTTAGGGGTTTAGGGCCTTAGGGGTTTAGGGTCTTAGGGTTTAGGGTCTTGGGGGTTTAGGGTCTTAGGGGTTTAGGGTCTTAGGGTTTAGGGTCTTAGGGGTTTAGGGTCTTAGGGGTTTAGGGGTTTAGGGTGTTTAGGGTCTTAGGGGTTTAGGGGTTTAGGGGGTTTAGTGTTTTAGGGTTTCTGGGTTCAGGGTTTAGGGCTTGGGGGCCCGAGCATCGGTTTTCGGATGTGGGGTTTGGGGCTTTGGGTTTAAATTAGTTTAAACTCAAGGGGCTTAGGATGCGGGCTGGGGTTTTACCAAGGGTCGACACGGGTTCTCTAAGAGTTTAGGGGCGGAGGATCTAGGGGTTCAGGGTTTAGGGTTTAGGGGTTAGTTTAGGGTTTAGGGTTTAGGGTTTAGGGTTTAGGGTTTAGGGTTTAG